GACAAAGATTACTATTTTCATCTGATTTGATTTTGATGCACAGACTTGAGTTTGGGAGATCTTAGAAGATAAAAAATCTTAACCTAATAATTCATAAGAAGAGATTACTCCTAATTTCTTGAATTGGGGAAGAAGAGTAAGAGTTTGTTTTGAGGCACACTGATGAAATATACTAAAGAAGTTCTCCTCCTTTTTTTCCCCCCTAAGGCACTATTTTTGAACTCCAGGCCACTGCCTGTAGGACCCCAACAGACATTACAAAATAAAACACTAAATTTTAGTGTTAAAATAAAACAATAAATATATCTCACATTAAGCAGCAACTTCACCAGCTATACTCCCATGCCAAGTACACAGACTGTTTTTTTTTCAAACATAAAAATTAGCATAATCCTGCTGAAAAGTACTCTGGAGATTGTGCAAGTTGGGTAACTATTCAGGAGGTGGTTACAGTGGGGTTTTTTAAGGTCAGGATAACATTCCTTGGGCAAGAGAGTCAGTTCAGGGACTCGTGCTTTGATTTCACAATGAGCTTTCCACTTATACAACGCAACAGTCCATTTTAAAAATTCTTATATGCACATTGTGCTGCTCAGATCTCACTGTTAGCCTCCTCCTAATTTATGAAGAAAAGGGCATTTGTTCTTCCAGTTTAAAACCAGTAAAACACAAAAAATTATTTCTCACACACACACACACACACACACACACAGAGACAGGTGTACCTAGCTCAAACACTAACACCATCAGGTCACACTGACACAGTTCTCTCAGCATCTGTATACTTGGTTCAAGGATGAGCAGGATCATTTCAGGTGTTTTATCCCCTGCTGTCTTTAAATTATTGCTGAGATGTCCAGGACAGCTGGAAATTGATCAGATTTTAAGTTTTCTTATTTGTTACTCTACTTTTATTACACAGACTGTGTTCTGTGGTCTAATTTCTCTCTGGTGGCTTCCTCTATTCTCTGCTCTGCTAAGAAGCCACCCTGAACACACAGGAATCTCTCCCTGGTCACCAGCAGTCCTAGAGAAACTGCTGCTCTTATTTCCTGGTAGAAAGCTCATCAAAATGTCTTTCTTGTTTAAATTGTGGTGGTTAACATGCTTTCCCACCTCACTGCCATGATATTCACCTCCACACCAGATACCTCTGTGTGGTTTAACCCCAGTCACCAGCCCAGCCCACACAGCCATCCTCACTCTCCCACCATTGGGACTGGGGAGAGAACTGGAAGGGTGAAAGCTCATAGATTGGGATAATGACTGTTTAATAAGGGAAGCAAAAGCTGCTCACACAAGCAGAGCAAAACGAGGAATGAATTCCCTGCTTCCCATGGTTGGGCAGGTGTTCAGCCATTCCCAGCAGAGCAGGGTCCCATCACACAGAGCAGTGACTTGGGAGGTCAAATGCCACCACTCTAAATGTCCTCCCTTTCCTTTCCCTCCCACTTTATACACTGAACATGTTGTCACATGGTCTGGAACATCCCTGGGGTCACTTGGGATCTCCTCAGCTTGAGCAGGAGCAAAGCCCTTGGCTTTGTTCAATCAGCAATGACAAAAACATCTCTGGATCATCACCCCTGAGCTCAGCTCAAATCCAAAACACAGCCCCACACCAGCCTCGGGGAAGGAAATTAACTTTACCCCAGCCCAGACCAACACAACTCTGCTTTGGAGAGCAACACTTCAGGTGCAGTGACAGTGCAGTGTTATGTGTTTGAGGACCCTACTAAAAATTGAAAGTTCAGGCAGGTATTGCTGATCTGCTTCAAAACAGCACCAGTAGAGGTATCACTGCTGGCATGTTCAAGAATTTGGGTATCTCTACACAAGCTGCAGGCACAGAAGTGGCTGCAGCGCAGATGTTGCCGGCCCAAATTGCGACTTTTTTTTGTGTCACCGTAGGTTCCTTGCTGTCACTGCCATTTTAATTTCTCTCCCTCTCCTTCTAAGATCACACACGAGATAGCCTAGTAGCTTTCACTGCCTAGCAATGAGACGGATGCCACTCGGTGGGGATAAACCAGTACTGCAAGGAGTGAAAAAGATTACATCGTTTTAAATCCCGTCAGTGGCTCCGTGGCTGCAGCTGCACGGCTACAGAGCCCTGCTCAGGGGGAAACGAAATTATGCTGAACTCATTTCTGCTCCAGAAATGTATTATGTCTAATTACCTCTAAACTGGGGCAAGTCGATATTCTGCTCTAGAAAACAAACTCTGGCTTCTGAGTCTGCAGGACAGAAAATAAGAATTAGATTTGTTAATGACATGGGGAGTAAGAGATTACTTTGACTAAATCTCTTCATGTAGATGAAATGAAGATGGAAATGGCCAGGAAACAGAAATGGGCTGCATGCACATGGGTCAGTTCTCAGGGAGCAAATGAGTCACTGGATGCACAGAAAGGAAGAGACGTTGAGAATAGGAACTTATTTGTGAATATGGTACTGATAATAGGCAAATCAATGAAAATAAAAGCTCATTATTCATAGCAAGCTGAAATTATTCTGGGAAAAGTTCAAGTGTTTGCTATGTTGAGTGGCATAAACCTTTTCCCCAGAATGCTTCTACAATTTCAGTTATTTCCTGAAATTAGTTCTTGGTAGGCAAAGAACAAGTTCAAGAGCACTGTGAAAGCTGCACATCTTCAGTCTGCTTTGCTTAACTTCACCATACAGTGAAACTTGGAGCATTGGAAACTTGGAAACTTGCAAAACTTGGAGCCTTTAAAAGTTCTTTTCACCAGCATGTGGAAGCTGAATTGAAAAGACAGAAACAGTTCAGGAAAAATTCAGTAGGGAAAACCAGCCAAAAATTCACAAACTAGTAAACTGAAGGGAGCCTATAGAAAGATGGAGAGACTGTTTACAAGGGCATGAGGTGAGAGGACAAGGGGGGAATTGCTTTGTGAAAAATGTGTATTTTATGATTGGCTTTTCGCAAATATTAAAATGAACATTATATGTGTTGTGTTAGAAAGTTATGCTGTATTAATTCTCTTAAATAGTGGGTTAAGTATAGTTTTAGGGTATAACATAAGGTTAAAATAGAAACTATGCTATGTAGAATACTTTTTTTTAAAGAAAGGACTTGAACCAAGATAGCAGCCACAGGACTGCTATCAGAGAAAGGGAATTTATTGCCCCATTATCAGAAGAAATTAACTTCTTCCTGCCTTGCTCAACCCTAAAGATGCCGTTAGGATTAAGAGGAAGAAGCTGAGACTGCCCAGACAGAATCCTGTGTTTGCATGGAATTTATGCATCATGTATGAGATGTATGAATATGCAACAGGTTATGGTTTTTAAGGGTTGATTCTTTGTTAACGTGGATCCTTTTTCAGGCTTGTGCTGCCCAGAAAAAGGTACCCGGACGTCCATAAATCTTAATTCCTATTGTCTCATATTGTCCTAATTCAAATTGTCCAAATTATTATTACTCTAGTCAGATTGCTATTTTAATAACCATTTTATTATCATTAAACTTTTAAAAATTTTAAAAACAAGTGATTGGCGTTTTTCACAGCTTCATACTGAAAGAGAATAGATCCAGACAAGATATAAGGAAGAAATTCTTCCTTGTGAGGGTGGTGAGATCTGGCACAGGGTGTCCAGAGAAGCTGTGACTGCCCCATCCCTGGAAGTGTCCAAGGACAGGCTAGATGGAGCTTGGAGAAACCTGGGATTGTGGAAGGTATTCTTGCCCATGAATGAGTTTTTAAGGTCCTCTCTGAGAAGAACAGTGGATTTGTCTTTACAAACAAGCTGTGGGTCTGCTGGTGGATAAAACCAGCACTGGGAGATAAAAGAAACAATGAGAAGAATTCCACTGGTTGGTGAATGGAAAAAGGTATTTGCTTTTACAAATAAACTTTAGGTTTGCTGATAAATTAAATTAGTCATTGAAAGACCAAAGAAACAACGAGGAAGAAAAACCCCTAAATTCCATAAGAATTAAAAAGTAAATGGGAGGGTTATGCATCAGAGGGGAAATCTTTGGTATCAGGTGTTCGGGGAGTCAGAACCTCTCAAGTACCTCAGAAATGGGGAAAGAGAGAAGGGAAATGTGGCTGGGAAACTGGGATAAAAAGGAGGCTGAGTCCTCCAAAATGTGAGATCCCTGGGGAATGCCCCATGGCCTCTCCCTTTATTTGAATAAAGTAAAAGGACTCCTCTGTCTTCTTTTTAGACATAAACCTCTGGTGTTTGTGGATTAATTTTCCTGGCACCTCCAACCCCAACCATTCTCATTACACGAATTTCCTTCAGGCCCTCCTCGTGAACAAAGTCTGGTGAACAAAGAAAAAGCAAATGTCAAGTATATTGGAGTTAGCGGATCTTCAAAAATGTTTCACTTGGGCAGCTCACGAGGAAAATAGCTTTGCTGAAAATACTGTGGGATTGGTGCAACACTGGATATAGAACTTTAAGGAGGCAAAGTTAGCCCTCGCCATCAAAACGGGTGTAAAGAATGCATTAAAGCGTTTCTGCTGAGCTCTGGCAGCGTCTGGTGTACATTAATACCCTCAGCAACTGATAGCTAGCATCAGCCTGGGAAAGACCACATGTGGAACCGACCGTACACGTTGGTAATGCTCTTGATGAGTTTCAGAAATATTCAACAGGAAAGGAAAAAAAGAGAAAAAACCCAATGTATCAGGGTGAGTGCAGCGACCTGTGCACAAAGTGCGCAGGGAAGCAACACAAACGCAACAGGGGCTCTGAGGGAGGCCACAACCGACCTCAAACTGTGCACGGTGCAAGACTATCAGCATTCTGACCAAAAACAGGCAAACAAAAGGCAGAGCAGGCAGCTCGGAGCGCGGAGCCGCGGGGCTGAGGGAGGGCCAGGGCCGTGAGACGCCGCGCCCGCCCCGCCCCGCCCCGCGCTGACGGCGGCCGGCAGCGGCCAAGCCGCGTCCGCAGGGCTCTCCCGTCCCGGGCAGCAGCTCCGGGAGCTCCGTGCCCGGCTATGGAGCTGTGGCAGGTGCCGCTGAGCTTCTCCCGCCTCCGCATGTTCCCTTTCTTCGACCTGGCGCATTATGTCGCCTCCGTGCTGGCGCTGAAGGAGCAGCGGGGTGAGCGGGGCGAGGCGGGACGGGGCGGACACCCCACACCCCCCATGCGGATCCCGGTGTTTCTCCCGTGTGTCCCTGGGGGTGCCCGGCCCCGGCAGGGTGAGGATGGGGCTCCGAAGGGAGCTGCTGTCCAGGTTACCCCGTGGCCGTGCAAATGGGATTGTCTGCCGCCTGCATTAGCCTGTCTGTCCATAAGCGTTGTCTCGCTGCCCGCTAAAGACACCCAGCCAAAGCTTTTGTCTCTTTCCAGAAGTTAAGAGGCGCTGGCGAAATCAGCCAAGTTTCGTTGGAAAGCTTTTAGGTTCTTTTTATTCAGTTGTTTGTTTGTTTGTTTGTTTCAGTTTTGAAGTCTCAGGAGTAAAAGGAGTGAGGCCCCTCGAAGTTGGGTTTATGCAGAAAGTGTATGTGTAACACAGGCCAATATCTCTGTGCCCAGAATTGCATCTGAGAGGGAGGATTAGCTAAAGTTTACATCCTTCTCACACCCTGTGTGTGCAGGGGAGTGTTAAGGCCTTTTCTGCCTTGTAGGAAACAGCTCAGGACTCTCATGGATCGGTCCCGTGCCAGTGACTCGTCAGCGTTGTGCCCTGTGGATTGTAAAGTGAATTTAGCGAAGCTCTCCACTTCCACTAACAAGGTTTTGTATGAGAGCACATCATGGCACTTCAGTCTGCATGCTCTCTTCCAGAAAATCGTTTACACTGTGATTCTGTCTGTGGCTGTTAACTCTAAGCCTTTTTTTTTTTTTTTTTCTGTCACAAATGTAGACACTGGCCTTGTTTCAGTGTTTAGAATCAAGCTGCATGTGGTGTGGGTTTAGACACGTTTGCAGTAACTGTGCATCCCAGGTGATAACTGTGTAGGAAACTGAGCTGGCTTTTGGGATTGGGATTTTAGGGCAAATTGGGGAGCTGCTGCTTGGCTCAGACTTCTAGGGCTCTGCACTGTTTGTTTAAGTGAGAGCTTGTTCTTTGGTCCATTCCTAAGTGTTCCAAGGTGAATTTTGACCATCTGCTGAGAAAGTGCACTTAACTGACTGTGAAGACTGGTGTAAAGTGCTTATGCATTCTAGAATCTTCACCAAACTTTGTTAATGCTGCTAACATTTTTGACGGGTGCTGGGCTGTGGCATTGTGTAATGTGTCTGTTCCACTTAGAAAGGGACTTTCTGACATTGTCGTGCAATGCTTTTAAACTTTCCTCTGGAATAGGCACACCTAAAGATGAGGATGAGAGGCCTCTGTGCCTAGTTTTAGTGAGACAACACTTATGGAAAGTAAAATTGCTGTCAGAAGTCTGGTCAGATCCATGCTCCTGTTTTTTTTTTTTTCTCTTCTCGGTTTAATAGCTGGTAGTTCAGAACTCCTGAGTATTTTCTAATAGTTGGAATTAATAACTGTAATCCAGATGACTGCCTGCTGGCCTGTTTCTCACTTCCCAAGTGGTTAGAACTGAGTATTAAATCATAACTGAAATAGCAGTTATTATACTCAGTATGGATATATTATCGTCGATTAATGCTGTCTAGGCTTTATGTTCCTTTTGGAAACTTACAACAGTAGCTATATTTGACAGGGAAATTACGGGATAGCATTGAGTGCCTGGTGATGTAAGAAGTATGTGGTCAAATTACAACCACATTTATTTTATCCCAGATTAGTGTCTCATTAAAATACCAACCCACCCCCACTGCTTAAAATCAGATTCAGTGTGGGCATTTGGATCATGGATGGGTGCACACTAACTGGGACTTTCCCAATCCTCCTAGCCAGGCTTTTCTGCTCTCTTGTGACTGGCAAACTGCAGCAGTCACAACCAACTTGTTGCTTTCTGTGTGTTTTAAAAGAAGAGTTCTTGATTAGTGCTTTGAGGATGGCTTAGGAGTTGCTTTCTTGTAACTCCAGCCAGTTGTAGAACAGCCAATTTTATTTTTATGGGATAGAGGGACAGCAAAAGGTGTTGGTGATTGAGGATGTGTCATATTTGGTTTGTTCCTGACATTTTTCTATCATCTGTTTGAGGTGATTTGAAGAGAAATAATTACTCTTCAGCAAAGTTTTTCTCTGTTAAGTCTGACTCTATAAAACCTTTTTCTTAACTAATGATGTTCTGTGTGGTTGAACGGGGTACTAGACAAAATATGTACAAATCCTCCTGGTGGGCTCACTAGGTGTGTGTGTGTGGTGTGCATTATTGCCTATTTGGAACATGCAGAAAAGTTTAAAGCAGATATAATCCTATTAGATTATATTCCTACTAGAAATAGTTAGTTGGTAAGGGTTTGTTTTGTTTGCTTGTTTGTGTATTTTTGTGTGTTTGTTTTGGTGTTTTATTTTGGTTTTTTTGTGTTTTTTTCCTTGGTTTTGTTTGTTTGTTTTTTAATGTTACTGTTGTTCAGGAGCAATTCTTAAGAGCATATTCAAGATTAGTCCCTATGTTTTGAAACCTTTCCCTAACTTTCTGAAGGGTACATCTGCAGGGCTGGCGGCCTTCTGGCAGATCCACCATTGCGTGGTTGTGTGATGCCTCATTAATTTTAGAGGATGCATCAGAGGACAAATATAAATGACCACTTTGTATAAAAACATGTGACCTACTTAAAACTGAATTTGTCTTCTGAAAGGCTACACCCTAGCAATAATTTAAGTAGCAGTGCTGAGATGATCTTCAAATTAATATCAACTTTCTTTGCCTCATTGTCTTCTGTATTGTGTATATTCCTTGTTAGGGAGCAAGGATATATATATATATATAACCTTGTTAAAAACTGGCATTTGAGCCATTTCTAGTGCTGTCCAACAGAAAAATCTTGAAGTGCAATGGAAGTTCCCCCTTCTTGACCTTTTACTTGTAAAATGAAGAAATTTACCTGCATTGTTGTGGAGCTTACTGGTAGAGGGCAATCTGGATGTGCCCTCAAAACTGAAAGCCTCTTGCTGCTAGTTGTGGGGCAAAGGGAGTGTGGAGAAGCTGGTGATTGTTGGAAGGCAGGAGAATGGATCTGAAGGGAGAACAGAGACCTAATTTTAAACCTACTCCAAAAGTAGTAAACACAAGCCATTAATAATTTGCAAGTGTCTTAACTTGGAGCACTAGGTACAGCAGTTTGAAAAATAAATTGCAAAATAGTTAGAAATGAAAGAGATGTTATTTTATATTCAAGTGTTCTGTAACGCTGAGGAGTGCTCATTTTTATAAATTGGGTGTTTTATGGGCATTAAGATAGTGCTGCAGTACTTGATATCTATGCCAGCACTAAAATGGAGCACTAAAACCTAAACTTGTTAATGCATTGAATGAATTGAGAGTGCTGTATGCTTTTTTAAATGTTTGAGCCTCTCATCTTTGGTAGGAGCTTCTTTTCCCACAGAAATGCCTGATAAACCCAAGCTACTCTGAATTGGGAACAGATGACAGATTTCATTTTGGGGCAGACAGTAGTGCTTTTCTGAACTTTGGAACTTTTGTGAACTTGTAGCCTTTGGACTACAGAAAATTAAACTGGTTCAGGCAAACAGCTCAGAACCAAGTGTAAAGGGGAAGCTTTGGCAACCCTGAACTTTTAAAGTGGAAGGAAATAGTCAAAACAACTACTTGAGCATTTCTAACTTTGGTAAAATGTTTTTTTCCTCTGAAAATGGTTAATGCTTCCCATTACCTCCAGTACAATCTTTGAATATTATGTACTCTTTTAGGCATTGTTAACTTGCACTTTAAAATGATAGTTCATTTTAAAGATGATGAAGTTAACAAACTGTCAACCTTTTGATAATGAGAAAAATTTACATTTATTATTATAGTTCAAGGTAACCTTTTTTCCCTCCCTCTCTTCAAGAGTGCAGGTGAAAACGATTTGATAATTATCTTGGATGCAGTTTTGGCCAGCAGTCACAGCAGGATATTGTGAGAAAAGAAGAGAAAATAGTTACCTTGAATTCTTGGAACACTCAAAAGTAGAAATGTAATTTGTAGAATAACCCTCCAAAATGTCAGCAATCCTGTTTAGATTAGCCACTTAGGTGTTTTTAATACAAATTTGAAAGCAACTGTGTCCCTGTGTCAGGTTGTTAACAACAAGACCTCATTGCTATGCTCTGAAAACTTTTTCCTCTTGGTATCTAGATATAACAAACTAATGCACAAAAGATTCAGAGAACACTTTGTGTCAGCCTTTCACTTCTGTTTAGGAGTTTGAGTTAAAGTCACCCTACCCTGAGGTTTGTATTTCTGGAAAATTTTCCTGTGAGAGCCTGCTGTTTGCTGGAGAATTTTTCATTACCTGAAGGAACTAAACTGAAAAATACTGACCTTTAAAACACGATGTTATTCTCCAGTTTTCATTTCTGTTTATGCAGAATGTTATATGTTGTTGTTTTTTTCTTTTCCCACAGGAGTTGTGGAAGTGTCGGTCCAAAGTCCCTTGGCCTGCTGGTTTAGTGCAATGCTGTATTGCTTTGGGGGCTCAGTTTTGTCCTCCTTGATGCTTGGTGAACCTCCAGTAGCATTTCTGGCAAAGACCATAAATATTCTACTGGCATCCTCAGTCTGGTAAGCAGCCACAGCTGGGTAAGATGAGTGATGCTGGCTCTAAGGAGGCTGTGTGCTGTAAACTGACACCATCCAGGTTCCATGTATTTTTACTTAAAAATGTGGATTTGGATGCTGTCTCTTCATCCAGGATCATTCTCTATGATCTTGTTCTCTGGGAATAGAGAGCAACTCTTACAGCCTGTTGTGTAACCAAATGCTCTGTTGCTAGATTAGACTTGTCTTAGGTTTTTTTACTATTCCTGGTCAAACAGCTGCAAACATTACTTTTTAATAAAGTTATTCAGTTGCTGTTTTATTGAATATAGATATGTCATAAATGCAGTCAAGTTTTTAAAAAGTAGTTCTTAAAGATCAGAACCTGGCTGATGTAAAATTTCTGGCTTTTCCTGTAACTGAAATTCCAAGACACATCTTTCCTCCAGTTCCTACTTACCAGACACTTTTTTTTCCCCCTGTATTTCATTCAGTCCCAGGAGGGCAGATGTTGTGGTGGAAGACAGTAGCTAACTCAATTGTTTAATTGAATTAAGTATTAGGCATTTTGGCCTGTTTGGAGTGTAAAAAACCATTCTGAAGTTATTTTCATATAAATGTGGTCTTGCAGTGGAGTTCATTTGTTCCAGAAAGTGATCTTTGAAGAAAACTTCAAACTTAACAAAAGTTATGAGCAACAGTGGGGTTTTGAGTGTAGAAATCTCAATCACTATATTTGGATAGTCTGACCTGCTTAAAATCCTTTAGTTCCACTTGCCCCATAAGTTTTACAGTTGTAAATTCATTAAAATGAAAACAAGTGTTTTTATCTGTCTGGGTGTATGTATTAGTTTTATGGTCTTTGTGTTGTAGTAGAAAATGACACATTTAATTTGGTGAAATGAATAATATGTATTATTAATGAGTTATTAACAGAATCTGCCTCTGGTTGTGTCAGTCTGATATGGGCAGACTTATTGCTTGTTTCAAGTGACACAAGCTAGGAGTACACTTGAAGAGAGCAGGATTTCTCTTAACTCACTGTCGTCAAATGTGATTTGCTGTGCAGAAATTAAAGGAGGTTTTACTGAGGAGCTGTGAGTGTTACAAAACGTTTTAAGCTTCCAGCTTTACGAAGTCCCCTCTTCGTGAGTGTAGTGAACTTAATTCCTGGTCCCAGATCGTGCACAAAGGAATTCCTCAAGCCACACTTGGGACTGGGAATGAGTGGAGTCGTGCTGGGCTTGAGGAATGCTCCTGAATGTTCTGTAGGACAGCGGCATCTGCTGTCAGCAGAGATTACAGGCAGGAATGCCGTGGAGGGCCTTCAGGGCCAGCCTCAGCCCTGTCACCAGTGCTTCAGGGTCCTAAACCCACATTCTGCAGATATAAATTAGTTCTGGTGTGAATTGGTGAGCAGGTGGCTTAAATGGCTCTTTGCAGTAGCCTGTAAAATACATCCTTTCGCTACATCTTTGGCTTCATATCAGCTGAAGCCTGGTTGCATACAGAGGCATCTTTACAATATCTTTATCTTTACAATAAGAGATAAAGGGAAGGGCCTCAGAAATTCTTGGTAGGCAGGATTGAGATCAAAAACCTTAAAGCAAGGGGCAATATCTTATTTTTTTTTTTTAAGAAAACAAAATTTATCCTTCTTTTTAAACACTTTCTCTGCTCTTATGCAATTTTTACTCTTACTCCTGTGCTGAAATAATCTACTTAAGATAACTTAATCAACATACTTAATCTTGATTGGGTTTTTGTGAATGTCTCGGTAAGAACTGAATTTTATTTATTATTGAAGACATATAATAAAACACTACATAATCTAATCTTTTAGAATTTACTGTCGCTTAGGATTTAACTGTTAGCCATCTTTACTCGGTTTTAAAAGCAAGTTGATCAAAGATATTTTGTGTAGTGTTCTTTCAATGCTTTGAATAAAGAAATGTGCTTGTAACTGGCAAGCTGTAAAAGCTAGAATTGGTGAGTACTAGGATGTTAAATGTGTTTAAAAATAGCCATGCATTTCATGTAGTATGACATTAACTAGTGGAAGCATTCTTGCTGAAGTTATATAATTCCAGGTACCTACAGTCTGGAAGCACAGAGTCAGCATTTAATTTGGCACCCTGTTGTAATTCTATTTAAAAAAAAATCCCAAACAAAAAAACCAAAACAAAACAACCCCCCTACACCAAACTAAACAAAAAGTAACTCACAAGATAAACTCAAAACACACAAAGTCAATCAGATACCACTTTAATGACTTGAATGATAAAAATGTGCAGATACATAAGGTGCAGAACAACTGGAAAAATGTAAAGCTGTTTCAATGGACTTGAACAGGTTTTTCTCTGTGACAGTGAGGCAGTGGTGTTTGGTTTTGGTGCAAAAGCTCAGGTGTGCTCAGAAGCTTTTCAAATTTGTTCCAAGATGTGTGTCACGAGACTTTGAGTTGTCAGTAGTATATCAGGCATTGCTAGACACATTCCAAAAACATATTTAAAGATTATGAAAAGATAATTCCTTAGCAAAAATGTGGCTAATGTTTTCTTTCTGATGATTTTCAGGTATCTGGTGTTTTACTGCCCAGAAGACATATTCTGCCGCTGCTTTTCCTTTCTGCCTCTTCGTCTTCTGGTGGCAGGGATGAAAGAAGTGACAAGGACCTGGAAGATCACAGATGGCATTGCACATGCGGACACTGTCTACAAAGATGCCTGTCTGATCATGGTGGCTGTGGGCTGGGCCAGAGGTAACATGCACAGCATCTTGTTCTGAGGGTTTGGGGTTTTTTGGGGTGGTGTTTAAATGTCTAGCCCCTACAGCAGAACTGTAGCACCATCCTTGCTGTGCTGGGCATGGTAGTCCTGATGCAGTCTGATGTCCCCTGAAGGAAAAAGCTTGTGCTGCAGATTTTCTGCCTGAATTAAGGGTGACATTGAAGAACTTGGAGGGGAGTTCCCTTCAGAAGGTCTTACGAGAGCTTGCAGGATGGACAGTTGATGACACTAAAGAAGTAAATCTTCTGTGTAGCTGTTGCTGAACTTTCCAACAGCATTATTGCCTCAGAGCTGTGTCCTTGCATGAGGCTGAAGAAGAGAACTGGGTATCTGGGGTTTTTGGGTTGTAACTTGATTTTAAACAAGGGTTGACCCTTGTTGCCTGCCTGCCATTTGGAATTCTGGAAGCCACCTTCCTGACAGCTGTATTTGCAGCCACACCGTCAGGGTCTCTTCAGAAAGTAGTTGTGCAGCTCCTGTTCCTGCTTGATTCTGTGTTGCTATGGAAAGCAACACGTGTGAATGTGATGATTGCATCAGTTCAGATGCTGTCACTTACAGGCAGACCTGCGCTTCTTGCTGAGTATCTCAGTGTCTGAGTTCTCGTGGCTGTTGTTTGAGTTTTGTTTGTATGAGAGGTTGGATTAAATCTTTTTAAGTCTGGGCTTTGGTGCCACATTTAGCACCTGGTGTCATGAGTTTTTCTGGGAGCAATGGCATAGCAGTGGCAGCAGTCAGTGGAAACTTGCCATAAATCTCTGCAATTTCAGGTGCTGGTGGTGGCTTAATTTCCAACTTTGAGCAGCTGGTGAGAGGAGTGTGGAAACCTGAAACCAATGAGCTCCTGCACATGTCCTAGTAAGTTTTTTTTAAAAACCTGCAACAAGTTAGCTGTTGTTTAGCTGGCTCCTGGTGTGGACACTTGCTCTCAGTGGTTGAAGCAAAAAAAAACCCCAAAAACCAAACCATGAGGACATATTTGTACTCTGTTTTAGTGTGTATCCTTTGAAAGATGGGACAATGAACTTTGGGACTTGTAGTGATGTTTTAATCATTTTATGTTCACAGCCCAAGAGCTGCAAATGGGAAGAGAAATCAACAAAACTTGTCAGAAAGTGATAAATACCTAGTGAGGAGTTGCTAGAAAGCAGTTTTGGTTCAGTTTGTCTTACAGGGACATGATCTTCTATCCAAAATGAAGGCACAGTGGTACTAGAAATACACAAGTGAATTTTGGTGTATCTTCTGAGCATCACTAAGATGGCTTCCTTTGAACACTGGCACTCTTACTTTTGCTGCCAGTGCTATTTTCCAAAGACATCAATTATTTGAGAAAGTACAAATTGGTTATTCAGTATAGCAGAAATGACCTGTAAGATGGGAAAAGTTACTTCTCTTGCAGGAGCAAAGAATGAGGAATATTACATGCCTCCTGGTTTTCTCTGTAAAATGAGAATTGAAACAGGCTGGAAAGCCACAAGCTATTATTGTAAGTCAAGATAAGGTCACTGTGATAATTTCCTAAAATTCTTTTGATCTTTCCCAGGTTACAGTCAGGTCTTTAAAAATAATAATTTTATTTTTTTAAAAAGCTATCTTGCCTTTCAGCAGCCACTCCTAGACACAGAATAACAGGAGAGACATTTGTAGCCTTCTCTTTGGCAATATTTCAACTTCTTGTGCATTGTGTTAGTTGTTGGCTTTTTCTGAAATTCTAAGTATTTAGAGTTTCTCTTTCTCTTGCCAGTGCCTAAATGGCAGTCTTGAAAGTAAACTTACAGAAGAAAAGGTGACTGTCATAAATAGCACTATAGACACAAATAAAAGTGTCTTTACAGGTGCAACATCAGAACAATGCTTACTGATTGGCATCACTTGCATATATTCTCCTTCTCCACTGTGGGTATGGCTCAAAGTAACAAAAAAAAAATTCAAAAGTTTTGTTTATGTATAAGTATTAAGAGCATTAAATTGAAATAAGTTACAGAGTTAAAAACATCAAACATCTTGCAAATGGATGAGATGCCTGTGTACACAGTGTTGTTTTTTGGGCTTCTTGAGAAGGAATTTGATGTAGTTTTTTGGTTCCTGAAAAGACAGTGAAGAACAGATCCACAATAGATGCTCTGTGATAACAGGAATGTCACCTGTACATGTCACATGCAGATTAAGAAATGCACAGAATTCTGGATAACTGACCAAAGATCTCTTGCTTTCTGGCTGCATACCTAGGAAGGGATTTAGTACCACAACAAAGATTGCTGTAAACTGGAAATAGAGTGGAAATCTTTGCCTGTCTCAGGTCAGCACAGCTGTGTTGGCAAAACCTGGCCATACAGGCCTGGCTCCAGTCAGGTTTAAGCTGATACAGCCCCAGAACTGCTGGAGTAGATATATTAATATATATAAGATATATTGGGAGAGGAAGAAGAGAATCAAGCTGACATATAAAGTCTGAATAGGAGCATTGATTTGAGGAGTATTTGTCAAATAGGAGTTTGTTGGGTGTCTGAAGTAGTGCTGGACTTGATGATTTATGAAGACAAAGCGTAGTAATATTATATAAAGTGAAAATCTTAATTTAGTTATAGCTGGATTTTGTATCTTACCACTGTTGCCACAAGTTTTCATTAGTGCTATTCAGAAATAATTATTTTGCACACTTAACAACATGTGTTGCTTTCCAGGCAGCTTCCACTGTAGAGCAGAGAAGAGAAATTAACATTCTTTGTTTGATTTCTAGCCCTGTGAAGGTAACTTTGATAGGAGCAGTTCTTTTCACCCTGCAACGCAGACAGTACTTGCCAATAGCAAAACACAACCTTGTGTTTTTATACACCATCTTTCTTGTTGTCTTCAAGGTAAGAATTTGAAAGTTGCTAGTGACCAAATAACAGCAGATATTTTATTTAATTGTTATAATGCATGCTGCTTGATGGGAAGGCCAGCTTCTGCTGAAGAAATGTGTTTAGAGTTCTGGATATGAGCAGAATGGAAGACCTGTTCTGTTACTGATTCTGTTCAATGTATGCAGGGAACAGGGAGGAAAAGAAAAAAATCAGCAATTTTGGCACTTAGTACTTGATATAACAGGCTTTGTATGTCTGTAATCTCAAAAAAAAAAAAGCTTATTCTTGTAGAAATAAATTCTCCTGTTCTCTGTCTTTTGTGTGTACCTATGCAGTTGCCAGTGGGTCTGTAAAACAAACCAGCTGGATTCTCATTTGATTTAAAATGTTCACAAAATAAGTGTTTGCATGGGAAGGGAAGGCAGACCAGAACTACTTTGAAGTAGGTGTAACTATTTTGTAATAAAATAGACACTACTTCTCTATTGAAGTCTTCAGTCCCTCTAGTCTTGTTCATTTCCAGAATGGTGCCTTTCTTCTGGATTACTAGTTTATAAGAAAACATAATCTCTGTTAGCAGATATCTGGCAATTTTAACAGCTTCAGAGCTGGTGTTGAACAGACCAGAGAATGTGTGGATTGCCAGTGTGGTTGCCAGTCTCCTTTCTGGGAAAGAGCTGGCAAGTTTAATTCTGCAGAAGTTAACTGTAGGGAGCCAAGACTTGAAGCTTATGTCCTTGATTTTCCATCTGAAATGATAAAGGCATTGTTGAACTGTGGATGCTGGGAATGAAGAAGGAGAGGAATGTTATTCTGGAAGTGAGAAATTGCAGGTGTCCACAGGAGCTGGCTGTCCAGCTGCACTGGAGTAACTAAGTCCTTACCCTGATGGTTGTACTGACAGTCAGGAACTAGCACCTATTTAGCAAATAAACTAATAAAGCAACAGTGTATCTGGTATGGTTTTAATTATGTCTCCCAGAAACTTGTCACATCTCTGAAAGCTGTAGAAACTGTTGCATTATGAACTTGTCCAGTACCCAGATCTGAAAACCAGGTTTTTCAATTCTGATTCCAAGTTACGTGTCTTAAGGGGTGCCCACCTAAATCTCTGAACTTTATGGAATGGATATGGCTGTCTGGACTTCTAATTAAAGTCTGGTTATGGACCTATACATTCAAAATGGAATTAAACATCCCCCTCTTCCAATTTAAGTGGAAGGAAGGCACTTAGTTTAGTTTTTCAGTTTGAACAAGGCACAAAGCTTACACATAAAAGTTGGTCTTCACCTTAAATGTATGCCATTAAATGCAATTTACTCTCAGGATGATTAATCTTGCAGAGAGTTTTTTATGCACATTGTTTGTGTATCGCTCACAGAAACATAGAGTTATACAATGCTAAGGGCTGGAAGGGACCTCAGAGATCATCCAGTTCCATCCCCCTACCATGGGCAGAGGCATCTTCTACAAGGCCAGGCTTGTCAAGGCTTTTTCCAGCCTGGTCCTGAACATTACCAGGGTTGGAATATCAGCAACTGTGACAGTGTTCACAGGGGTTTTAGGACGAGGGAAGAGATGAGGATCTGACTCCATGTTTCAGAAGGCTTGATTTATTATTTTATGATATATATTATATTGAAACTATACTAAAATAATAGAAGAAAGGATTTCTTCAGAAGGTTAGCTAAGAATAGAAAAAGAAGGAATGATAACAAAGGTTTGTGGCTTGGACAGAGAGTCTGAGCCAGCTGACTGTGATTGGCCATTAATTAGAAACAACCACGTGAGACCAATCCCAGATGCAACTGTTGCATTCCACAGCAGCAGATAACCATTGTTTACATTTTGTTCCTGAGCCCTCCCAGCTTCTCAGGAGGAAAAATCCTAAGGAAAGGATTTTTCATAAAAGATGTCTGTGACAAGTAACATCTCAGGGAAACCTGTATCTCACCACCCTCACTAAAGAATTGCTTCCTAGAATCCAGCTCAAATTTCCCCTCTTTCCCATTCCTGCTTGTCCTATTGCTACAGTTCCTGAGGAAAAATCCCTCTCTGACCTCCCTGTATATCCCCTTCATAGCTGTGTGAAGAGTGTTGGTCAGAAAGAAAAGCTTTCTTTGCCCAATTTCAGCTAAAATGAGCAGAATTCTGTTGGTGATTGCACAGCCTCATCCTTGTGTAGAAAGTTAAAAATGCCTTACACCCCTTCTGCTTTTAGCTTGTTTACCTGTGAAGCCATCACAACTTTTATTGTAACTTGATCCTTGTTCTCCATAGGTAAAAATGATGTTGACAAGATGTGCAACTTCTCCATTTGCTCCCATTGAGGCTGCAGTGTGCCAAATGTTTTTTGGCTCACAAAAGACACCTTCCAAAGTGAAGGGTGAAAGTGCCACATCTTCCAATGGCTCTTCAGTCTGTGACCAGCCTTCTGAGCAGCACCATGAGAGTGCTAAGAAAAAAACAGCAAAGAAAACAGAATAAGTGACTTGAAATGTTGTGATGGTCGTGAAGATATGTGTCTTCCAGATTAAGCTGGCGGAGAAGTTTCTCTAAGGAAAGGAGAACAGCTGTGATGTGGTTTGCCTTTTTGGGATGTTTTGTGTAAGCTATGTGTAAATGCACATGTTGGATTTGTGAGTTAAAACTATGAGTGGTTAAAAGTTTACTAATTTTTGTACTTACAACAACTTCAAATGCTTATAGGTTAAAAAGATAGTTTCAAAAATGTGACAATCTTTTTTTTTTCCTACTATATCACTTGTTTCATGTCTTCCTATCCCCCAGTTCTTATGTATAATTTTGATAACACAGATTTGTACTGTCAGGTGTTCACTGTAGCACATCCCAAATAAGAAAGTCATTAAGTAAGGCTTAATCACATTGCACTGTGTAAAATCATAAAAATGTACCAATTTAATGCCTTTAACTAGAAAAGTAATTGAACTATTGTTCTAATTCACATTGCATAGGTCTAGATTTTCTTAATTTCCCAGAGTAAATGTTTTTAAATGTTTTTAAATGAGAGTATATTATCTCACTATAAATATTATCTGGCACTTTTAAAAATCTTAGTTAGCAAGTAGAAACACATCAATATTTTTGTGGTTGGCTTACTTGGACTCTTATTTGCAAGCATTTGAGATGTAGGTGTTTTTTGCCACATTAGTGTTTTACAAGTGGTTTGTAGTTACCTTCTGGTTCATTTGGGTCTAGATGTTCTTTGCCTACATTTTTTTTCCAAGCATATGCACTTATTTCTTTTCAAAGACAAACTTCATTAGGAAGAATACTGGGCAGTACATTTACCTTGTTTGGTCAGCATCCTGAGCTGCAGCACAGGAATGGGAGCAGAATGTTACCCCCCATAATCCACGCGGGAATGGTCAGTGAGCTGCTAGAACACCTGGACACTCCCAAGCGGTGGGATGGGATCCACCCAGGGGTGCTGAGAGCTTGCTGGGCCACTTCAATCATTTACCAGCACTCCAGGAGAACTGGGGATGTCCGTGTTCTCTGGAAGTTGGATGCAAATGTATCATGCATCTACAGGAATGGTCAGAAGGAGGATCCAGGGAATTTCAGGCCTGTCACATGCCCTCAGTGCCAGGGAGGCCATGGAGCAGGTCACCTTGAGTGCCACCAGCAGCAGGGACAGGACAGCCAGGGCATCAGGCCCGGCCAGCCAGGGTTTAGGAGATGCTGCCTGACCAAGCTGGTCTCCTCCTGTGCCAAGGTGAGCTGCTCAGGGCTCAGGGACAGGCTGTGGATGTGTCTGCCCGGGCTTCACAGAGCCTTTGACACCTTCTCCCACAGCATCTCCTGGAGGAACTGGCTGCCCATGGACGGGGCCCTGTGCCCAGGGGAGGAACGGGCTGAGGGCAGGGCCGGGAGCAGTGGGACATGGAGGGACACCCGGCTGGGCTGGCACCAGGGGGGCTCCCATGGGATCAGGGCTGGGCCAGGCCTGTTTGACATCCTCACCAAAGGGGGCATCCAGGGCCCCTCAGGCAGCTCCTGACAGCACCAGGCTGGGTGGGATGTGGATGTGCTGGAGGGCAGGAGGGCTCTGCAGAGGGCTCTGGCCAGCCCGGATCCA